TTTATACATTTAACTCATTATGAATATATTTATATTTGTGAATTACTTAATGCTTAATATTTTCATTTTTTTATCTTTCAGAATATCCCGACAATGGTTTGAGCATTGATTAGATCTGATGATGCAACTGGCTTCAATCATATTCTTGTTACTATTTTACTTTATGAAAAACTATTTTTTGATGTAATGAAGTTTTATTTCATTTTCAGGAATGTGTTTGTTTTTAGTGACTGTGTGGTGGAAAAACTTAACTGTTTTTGGTTCATAAATTGGAGAAACGACTGGATTTCTTATCATGGGATAAAATTGAGTAGTGAGTGACAGAATTTTGGATTTTTTGGGAAGTTTTACTGTATTCTTTTCTATAGTTTGGGAGTTTATCTCTAAAATGAACATAAGTTGTCTTTACTCTCTCCTCTTTCTCCTAACAGAATAAGTGAAAAGTAACAATGGTAGACATGCTTGTCTATTTTTTCTATGTTTCAACATTAGATTCTCATGAAATTTTTTATACCTTAAAAAAACCTACAAAACGAAAAACCGATAAAAAATTGATAAAAACCGAAACCGAAAAATTTCTATTAATTTGATTTGGTTTGGTTTTACAATTTGAATAACCGACTTAATTGGTTTGGTTTTTTTTAGGTAACAACCGACCCAAACCGAACCATGAACACCCCTATCTCAAACTACAGCCTTACAGACAGTCATCAGTAGCTATCAGAAAAAACTTGAAATTGAGTGCTCGATTTTATGGACCCTATAAAGTTCTACAACGTATAGGAGCAGTAGCTTACCGGATTGAACACCCTCTAGGCTCACAGATTCACCCGGTGTTCCACATTTCTCAGTTGAAGAGAAGAATAGGCCCAGCAATCACCCCTCAGATGCAGCCTCCAACTTGTGACGTTGATGGACGAGTCAGGATCCAGCCGATTGCTATTCTTCAGAGGAAAATGGTGAAGGTCAATAATGGAGTTGGGGTTAAGGTTCTGGTTCAATGGGCTAATCTAAACCCTAATGAAGCCACATGGGAGGATTGGGGGTACATGCGAAGCCAATTTCCTGAGTGTTCGTAGCTCAGTATCGACCTTGAGGACAAAGTCTGTTTCATGGGAGGGGTATTGTAATGTTTGAGAAGGCTGAGGTTTGAGTGTCGGAGAAGATGAAGAAAATGATTTAGGAAAGTAAGGAATTAGGGTAAATAGAGAAAGGCACGTGCACACTAGACATGCACATGTTAAGTGGATCAGACGGCCACCATTACAAGTTAGCTGATAGAAATGAAGGGCCCAGATTAATCCTTGTGTAACAGATTGGGCCTCAATCTGTTACAACCAATTGGGCTGGAATTAGGAGTTAGTTTTTGACCGGTATTTTCCTATTTCCCTCTCTTTCTCTCTCTACTTTCTTTCTCTACCTTCTCTCTTCTTCTATAGCCTAATCCTTTTCTAATTCGTGAATCTCCATTATAGGTTCAAGTGAAGATCTTCAATGGAGTCACATTCTGCTTGTCATTGAGAGTTACTAATGTTGTAGTTGAGAATTATCATTGTATTCATTTAGCAATCAATAAAACTCCATTGTTGCCCATTTCTATTTCTATTCTACTTTTCAATTGAGTACATTACACTATATTTTCCAGTTTTTTTTGTAAAAGAGATTTAAGATACACTCATCGAATCAATGCATACAAATTTATGAAAAATCACTGAAAAATACAGTAAATCAGTAGAATGAAAATGGAGGATGGGGATGAGGACAGAAGCTCAGCCGTCTGAGAGGGAGTTCTGTGAAGAAGAAGAAGAAAGAGGAATAAGAAAGAAAAAAAAATTAACTTTCAAAACTTTTCACGCGCCCAACTCCAAAGTGAGAGTCACTTTTGTGCCACATGTGCATGAGGTGCTCAATAGATATAATTTTTTTTTGGAGTTGGAGTGTCTAATAGGAACAAGAGTATGCCTAAATGAAATTGGGCGTCAAGTTTAGGGGCTGGTTATGTATTTGGCCTATCTTTAATAGCACTACCAATCGCAATGTTAGAAGTAATAATCTTGAAACCAAAGAACCAGTCCAGCAACAATCACCCCACCCCGACCCTCTCAGAAAAAGAAAAAAAATCAAACTTCTATCTACGTTCTAGATTCAAACCAAAGTCAAACATTGTGGGAATCAGAAACCTCCCATTCGTAAGGAGAACATAGTTGTGCATAAAACAACAGTCCATTAAACAAATTTGATTCCCTGGAAAGGGGAGGAGCCGCTAATGGCGTCTGCCACTAATCCTCAATCAGTGTTCAATGTTTTCGTCTACGGCAGTCTTTTAGCTGACGACGTCGTTCGTGCCCTCCTCAAACGGGTCCCACCTTCTTGTCCTGCCATTCTCCACAACTTGTTAGTGTTCTACAATCATCAATAGATGTGGCATGTTGCCTTTTATTTTTATATACCCTTTTAGCTTATGATTGAAATATTGATGCTGAAATTGTTTTTTAGTGGATATTTGGGATTAGCTTTTCTTAAGAAATTAAAACCTAATAGAGTGAAAAACATAGGAGTATGGGATGAAGTTTATATGCTTCAGATATGGATAGTGCTAGTTTTGAGATGAATTAAATGGAAGATTGTGATTTTAAATTTTTAATGTTAATTTCATCTGTCTCAGAATCACAGTTTCATTCTGCTTCGTATTATGTGAACTGTGTCATACTTTAAGATAGCGCTGGCTACACGTGTATGTTCTTAGTTGCGATTCTTGAACATGTTGTGGATTTCAACGATTATTACGTACATCGTTTTTTGTTCTTTTATGGGAGTTCGTAAACACTTATAGCGTAGCTTTTCAAATGCTAGTTACTGGGATTTTGGATTTTTCAATTTTAATTTTTGTGTATGTATGTTAATGTCCTATTTGCCCGTTGCTTTCGTTGTTTCTTTAATTAATAGGGGTCGTTTGGTAGGGTGCATAAGAATAATGCTGAATATGGTGTATTAGTAATGCTGATATTAGTTATGTTTGCATTAGTTATGCTGGTATTAGTTATGCTGACATATTTCTTATTCATTGTTTGGTTTTGATGTATTAAAGCATTACACAATTTCTTAAAGAATTGCTTGTTTACAAAAATACCATCAAAACCGGTCTATCACTCTAAAACTTTTTAAAAGAAACATATGTTAGAGAAATATTTTTATATGAAAAAGTTTTAAAAAATTATTTGATTTGTCTACCTATATTGTAATATAGAACTAAATATTTATTTATAAAAAAGGAAATATGCTAAGTATTTATTTATTTACTAGAGATATAATTTTATTTCTCACTATTTGAATTATCTAACCTTGCATTAATATAATAACTAGCATATTTTAATCCAGCATAAATTTTGAAGGACAATTTTGTCTTTAACTAAGCTAATGCATGCGTTAAAACTCATTGCATTGCTAATACCATGGTTTTCAATGCATTAGTTATGCATAGGATAATACCAAATAAGATGTATAACTAATGTTTGCATAACTAATGTATAAGTTCAAAATGTCTACCAAACAAGGTATTATTAATACACAAAGCTAATGCAAGCATTATTTTATCTAATGCATCCTACATAGAGTGAGAGATTTTTCTAATATCTTGTAGGACTGATTCTGTTGCTTTGCTTCAGCCATAGGTTTAGCATCAGAGGGTGTGTTTATCCTGCCATTCTACCTGTAGAAAACAAGAAAGTTAATGGCAAGGTTTGTTTGACATTCTCCACTTATTGTCCTACAGAATTAGCGATGTATATTGGTACATACTTTGTCATACGGGCAAGCTGTTCCAGATATGCTAAATCACTGAATTATCTTCTTAAAGTTACCTCCAAGCATCTTAGCTATTCAACTATCATGTTAACATAATCTGATGCATGACTTGCAAAAAAAATCTATTACAAAGGTTCCAGTCATAACCTGGGAAATCAATGGTTTGATAGTTGTAACAATTTCAACTGAGGTTAACGAAAGTGAATTGATTGATTGCTATTGGGGAAATTTAAGCTTAGCAAAAGCGAGTTCACTCTGGAAATGAACTATGGGACACAACTTTCTTCATAGTTCTCTTGTTAAAAGTGGAATCATCGTCAGCCTGTTGATTTAGCTCTCTTAATAACGTTGTGTATAAGCATTATTTGCATCAAGTGACTAGCTGCTTAAGGTCACTCAAGTATAGCTTATACATCCAAGTCCATTAAAATTGAAGATTTGACGAGTGACCGCCATTATAGAGGTCCAGGGACTCCAGACCAATGCATGTACTATGCAATTAAAAAGTAGAAGAAAGAATGACTGCTGCCTGCAATCCTTTGTTATTGAGACCTCAACGAAAAAATATGAAATCCGACCATCTTACTGATCTTCTGAATGATATGTTTGTTTTGACAAAATGTAGGTTCTTTCAGGCATCACTGTTCCTGAATTGGATATCTTGGATAAATTTGAGGACGTTGAGTACGAAAGGAGAACTGTTGATGTATCCCTGACGGTATTGATACACAAAGTTCCAGAGTTTCTGTAGTCCTTTATTTGCATTCTTGTTATTGCAGTAACACATCGCCAGAGCATTATGAGACTTTTGTAGAGCTTAAAATTTTCTTAAACTCTTTTCTCAAAATGATTTTTATGGAAAAAATAAATAAAACAATTACTCAAAAAGTTTTTCCCAAATGTTGTCCAAATGGCTCCTAAATTTTTGGGTTTAATGGAACAACCAAGCTATTCAATTGATGGGTGCTTTTTGGAGCTAAATGTAGATGCTTGAGGTCCTAACACCTAGAACAAATACCATGCTCTTTACTGTCCCTTGAAGTGCTCACCAGCACCCCATCAAGTAGTGTTTTTGCTACAGAGTTTTCATTGACAGTAGGCTGTCAATTTCTTTTGTTTTGGATATAAGTGTTAAAGATCATCGCATGCGTTTTTTATGAGTCACAATTGTATAATTTCCTATTCGAAATCTCAGAATGGTTGAGCGCCCTTTGAGTAGTTCTACCTCATCCATGTCATCTTTTTGTTTCTAAAATTTTCTTGGTTGACTAGGAGGCAGAAAACCTAATGTGCAGGTCTTCTATTTATTAACTATAGATGATACAACTTCATAGGTATGATGACCAGCTAGTCATAGTGATATCTTTGCCATTGCTTTTTAGTTGTTATTAAGAACGCTATGGTTGGCAACTTGGCATAAATGTACTGAAGTGGGTTTGCTTCATCCAGCTTTCCCGCCTATGTCAGATGCTGTTGGCACTTCTGGATCTTTGCTCGTCAGTTTTAATTCCAATGTCTAGTTTCACTTTGGCACAACACTAGTGAGGCGCATGGATTTCAGTTTTCCAATTATAATGTACTTATCTGGTTCACTATAGATGTCTTTGCTTTTTGCAGGACAGCTCCGATACATTACTGGTGGAAGCATATATTTGGGCTGACCAGAGTGACCCGAATTTGTACGGTGAATGGAACTTTGAGGTAATCGGAAATCTTGTATCAGTAGCTTCTTTTCTTAACCAAGATTTTGTAAAAGCTAGCCCTTATACTTTTATGTTCTTATGGAAATGCTTCGAAAGGAATGGGAACAGTTGCACAAGAAAAGCTTCCTGAAAATGACAATGGAGTTTGTGGAAGAACTGGAGCAGCCTAATCAAAGTGGCAGCACATGAATCCTACTAAGTCCACGGTTTGATGTTTGTCATGAACCTGGAGTGCCCACGGACAACCCCCAAAAAAGAAAGAAACGTCTGGATAATTAAGCTTAGAAACAGGAAATCAATTTGGACAGGACAACTACTTTTAGTCTATTGCTTCTGTTGTACTACAAGTAGCGTTTTCCATTGCCCTTTCCTTTTGATTGTGGGGTAAGGGGTGATAGCCCTTTGTCATATGTATGTAGAAATTTCAAAAGTTATCCGTGCCTGTACACAATTCTATAGTAATAAACATGTGATTGATCGCATGTAGCATTTCTCCTGTTCTAATTATTGGCTTTTCTAACTTGTCATTTGCTTTCTTTTCTTTGGTTAATCTTAAATATATTACCCAGCCTTGATGTAATTTTGAATGAGATCAGTTTGAATCATTCTACATAATTGAGTTTCTTTCTCTCTTTTCCCCTCTCTAGTTTGAAGCAGTAGCAACAATCATCAACACTAACAAGGCAATACGAAAACCAAAGCGAAAGAAACAAGTAATAATAAAAACTCCAAGCATAAGAAAATACAACTTCTGCTTCTAGGAAGAATTTACAATGTATAGCTTGTTTCAAACAACAGAAAAACAAAACTGCTTCTGCAGTTGCTTTAGCTTTCATTTCATGGTGAAAACAGAAACCCCTCAAGTCTTATATTTAAAAAAAGAAGAGGTGGATTTTATTTTTTGAAAAAGAAGTGCTTTATCTTTCCGAAAGTTGGCCAATTAGGCTATAAGATTTAACTTTGAGGTAAAAGAGAAAAAAGCTACAGAAAAAGTTAGAAAAGTAAAGAATTCCAATTTGTTCAAGGTCAGATTATAAAAATTTACAATTACTTCTGAGGGATCATTTTATCACCATATTTGCATTTTATTGAAGATGATAGAAATTCATGTCATATATGTGAAAGTCCAGAATAGAAGTTTTAATATAGTCAAACTTTCACAGTGATTTTGCTACAAGCGACTTGTATTCTCTTATATGATTTTACTAATGGTGTTGAAATCTAATAATGCAGAATCTAATTCTGCTTTGGAGGGTTGCGACGGCGAATTCTTAGATAGCCAAACTTGCCAGCCCCAGGAGATGAGCCCTCAAAAAGAATGGGCAAATATCCTGTTGCCGCTTTGTATCTGCGCTGTATCTGCACATTCAAAAGAGTTGGAAACAGCCTCATTATTCTGCTAAATCCATGGGAAAAAAATGAAAATATATAGTACTTCTTTTCATAGAATACATTTTTGCGATCCAACTATCCTTTACCACAAGTGTTCTATACCTAAAAATGCCCATACTGGAACAAACATGAAAATTATATACTTCTTTTCAATTGGGGAAATAGTGCAGGTGTGATCCAAAATATGGATTAATTGTTAGTGCAATTTGGAACACAACATAGGAGAACGACAGCCTTTAAACGAGAGGGACATTACCTCGAGAATTTGTTCACTGCTCTTAAGTGAATTCCTACCAATTACACATACAGTTCCACCAGAACCCCCGCCGGTAATTTTAGCACCATACAATGTCCCTTCTCCAGATTTTGATGCCTTACTGTGCTGCATTTCTTGCACTAGTTGGACGAGCCTATTTGTTCCATCCGAACCTAGTCCACAATCACTGTAACTGTAGTGGCACTGCAAAATAAAGTGCAATAGTAAGAAATAAATTTACAATAGATACGTCTGATTAGTACAAAAAATCTGAGCTTTTGAGAACATCTTCGCCCCATTTTAAAATTGGGACTATTAATAAACAGGGAAGTCTTTCTATATCATAAATAAACCAAAAAAAAAGTTGTGTTCTGAACAAGCTTTTTGTATTAGATTCAATTTGTCGGCTTATTTGAGGATCTGGGGTTCTCGAGAGATTAAGGCTATAAGATTGTCGCCAAGAATAACTTCAAGCAATCCTTAAATGAGACTCTTATTAATCAGAGAGATTAATCTTTCTTACATTGAGAAACGTGATTCGTGAGATTTAGCCTTTGTTACATTGAGAAAATGTCTAGCTTTAATGGTATACTATGCTTCAACATTGTGCTGGTTACTAATTTTTCCTTCGAAATTGCTTCTTTTCGAAACTACAAGGCGAAAAGCAGTAGTAGAGAAAAGCTACTTCTTGCCATTCCCTGTTGAAACTGGAGTACTGAAACTCACAAAGGGAAATACATCGAGATACCTGATACAATAATTCTCCAAGAGCATTCAGTTGATCATCTGAAGTCGCAGATGTTAGCAGTGCTTTAAAGGCCTGTCATCAATTTTTCAAATCATCACTCAGATACCATCTAAAGACATTCAATTAGAAGAAATAAATAGTAAAACTGTAGATTAGGATATAACGGAGAAAATTAGTTTTAAATATGCGAACTAAAAATTGATCACTTCAAGAAAACAAACCTTCACACGGAAGTTCTCGTAAATAGGGTGTCTGGCAGCTGCTCTGACCCCATAATTACGCGCCTTGTCAATTGTCGTTACCGGGTCACGGTGGTCAGTGTACTTTTCAGCAAATGACTCACCAAGTATAGATTCAGGAAGCATCTTGGCGTACATAGCCTCGTATCTACAATAGCAATACCATTTATGAATTATTACAACCATAGATACGATTGTAACAGCCACAACCAAGCCAAGCAGGCTTGCCCCAATATGTGACGTTCTTATTGTTATTTGTGTCAATAATCTATCTTTTCTTTTTCACCATAGTTGAAGGCTGAACTAATTCATTGCTGAGGTCAGAGAAAACATGTTTTTCTTTTTGACCAAGCAAGGAAAGTGGATGATTACCTCAGGGAGGAGAAAGGGGATCAAAGTATAGTAAGT